CTCTTAATTTTTTGCATATTTATTAGTGGTTTTTGACATATGATTGCTATTAGGTTTGTACATAACCTCTTCTGCATAAAGCAGTCTACATTAAGTTGATGGTCGTTTATGTTTGAACCATTGTTTTCTCCTCTCCTTCCCACATTTTAGGTATATGTTATTATATTGTATGTCCCTTTTTGTGAGTTCCTTGATTGATTTTTTACAGAAATATTCATTTTTACTGTTTTTGTGTTTCCTACCTCTATATTGTCACTTTTGGTCTCTCCTTTCCACTCAAAGTGACCCTTTTAATATTTCTTGTAGGGCTGGTTTAGTGGTCATGAACTCCTTTAGGTTTGTTTGTCTGGGGAACTCTTTATGTCTCCTTCTATTCTGAATGATAGCCTTGCTGGATAGAGTATTCTTGGCTGCTGATTTCTCCCATTCAGCTCTTTGAATATATCACGCCATTCCCTCCTGGCTTGCAAAGTTTCTGTTGCAAAATCTCCTGCTAGCCTTATGACTCTTCCCTTGTAAGTTAATGACTTGTTTTATCTTGCTACTTTTAGAATTTTTTCTTTATCACCATATTTTATAAATTTAATTACAATATGTCTTGCTGTTGGTCAGCTTTTGTTGATTCTGTTGGGGGTTCTCTGTGCCTCCTGTACCTGAGTGTCTGTTTCCTTCCCCAGATTAGGGAAGTTTTCAGCTGTTATTTCTTCAAATAAATTTTCTGACCACCTCTCTCTCTTCTGAGACTCCTGTAATATAAATGTTATTACATTTAATGGAGTCAATGACTTCCCTAAGTCTATTCTCATTTTGCATAATTCTTTCCTCTCTCCTTTATTCAGCTTGATTACTTTCCATTACTCTGTCTCCTAGGTCACTAATTCATTTTCATTTGTTTCCATGTACATGTTCCTCTGCTTCTTCTATCCTGCTGTTCATTCCATCAAGTGTGTTTCTCATGTCATTGATTGCGCCCTTTATCTTTGCTATGTTATTCCCTATCTCTGTGTTAAATATCTCACTCATGTCTTCTGCTCTTTTCTCAAGTTCAGTGAGTATTTTTATGATCATTGCTTTAATGTCTTTATCCAGCATGTTACTTATATCTGTTTTGCTTAGATCTCTGGCTGTGGCCTTATCCTTTCTTTCATTTGGGATAAATTTCTCTGTTTTCTCATTTTGTCTGCCTCTCTTTGTCAATTTCTCTGTGTTAAGAAAGTCAGTTGCATCTTCTGCTCTTGAAAGAATTGACTTTATGAAGAAGAGGTCCTGGAGTGTTAACCCCCTGTTCACCAGAACCTGGCACTTCAGGAGAGCATCCTATGCATGTTGCTTTTGCCTTCCTATTGTTTATGAGTCCTTTTACCTTTCTATGTAGTCATCAGCACTGACTCTCTGCCTGTTGTGGGTTGTGCTTGCTTTCTATGGTGGTAGTGGGACCCAGGCAGGCTAGCTCTGGGGGAGTGGGGCATGCCTACCAGGAATGCAAACAGGGCAGTTGTATTAGCAAAATGTGCACTGGGCCACTAGTCCTATGCCAGATCTCCTTTAGTGCTGCAGTGGCTGGAGGCTGCACACTGGGTGGCCAGGCACACAAGAGCAGCTGGGGGTGCACAGCTGGGCATGGTGGGAGATGGTGCCTGTGGGTGCTCGGCTGGGTACATGCACAAAGGTGCCCGGAGGACTGCTGCTCAGTGTGGTACATGCTGGTGGCTGGGGGCATGTGTACACAAGGGTGGCTAGGGGTGCACAGCTAAGCACAGTATGACAGACATGCATGCTGTGCACCTGGTAGCTAGGTGGGGTACCTGTTTGGCTTTAACAAAACTTGCCCTGGGATGCTTAGGTGGTATAGTCGGTTAAATGCTCAACTCTTTTTATTTTTTTTATTTTTATTTATTTATTTATTTATTTTTTAAGATTTTATTTATTTATTTGACAGAGAGATAGCGAGAGCAGGAACACAAGCAGGCGGAGTGGGAGAGGGAGAAGCAGGCTTCCCGCTGAGTGGGGCCCGATGCGGGGCTTGATCCCAGGACCCTGGGATTGTAAACCCGAGCCGAAGGCAGACGCTTAATGACTGAGCCACCCAGGCGCCCCTCTTTTTAGTTTTTAATATTTTATTACTTTTTTACTCTTTATTTTTTTTATGTTTAAAGATTTTATTTATTTGACAGAGAGAGAGAGAGCACAAGCAGGGGAAGGGGGAGAGGGAGAAGCAGGTGCCCCACTGAGCAGGGAGCCTGATGAGGGGCTCGGTCATGATCTGAGCCAAAGGCAGATGCTTAACAGACTGAGCCATCCAGGCGCCCCCCCTTTTTTTTTTTTAAAGATTGTATTTATTCATTTGACAGAGAGAGAGCACAAGCAAGTGGAGTGGCAGGCAGAGAGAGGGAGAAGCAGGCTCCCTGCCGAGCAGACAGCCTGATGCGGGGCTCGATTCCAGGACCGTGGGATTATGACTTCAGCTGATAGCAGATGCTTAACTGACTGAGCCACCCAGGCACCCCGCAAGCGCCCAACTCTTGGTTTGAGCTCAGGTGGTGGGATCAAGCCCCGAATCAGGCTCTGTGCTCAACACGTAGTCTGCTTGGGATTCTCTTTCCCTCTCCCTCTGCCCCTCTTTCTTGTGCTTTCTCTCTGTGTGTCTCTCTCTAAAATAAATAAATCTTTTAAAAAAACTGCCCTGAGCCCAGGGCCAAGGCCAGCAAGCTTGGAGTGGATAAGTCCTCAGGAGAACTCATGAGCATGGAGCACTGCTAGTAAGTTAGGTGCCAAGTGTCTGTGCAGCCCCACCTCCAGCAGGTGTCTCTGTACTTATGCTGACAGGTGGGGATGGAAAATGGCACCTGCCAGCTCCGTGTTGTGGAAGTCCCCCAACATACTCGGAAGTAAGTATGAACAGATCTGTCTACTGTTTGTGGAGTTTGTTCTGCCAGTCTTCAGATCGCTCTCTAGTTTATTGACTTGGATGCGGATGATATCTAGTTGGAAACATGGGACTGGGTGAGCTCAGGGTCCTCCTACTCTGTCATATTCCCAAGCTCCTCCCAAGATTCCTCCTTTTATCATTTCCTTTTTGTGTACAGGAATACCTTTAGCCCTTCTTTTACTGTAGCTCTGCTTGTGAAAAATTATCCTAGTTTTCCATCATCTGAAAATATGTTGATTTCTCCATTCCTGGAGGATGTTTTTGTTTGATACAGAATTCTAACTTGTTTCTTCCCTTTCAGCTCTTGAAAATGTTGTGCAACTTCCTTTTGGACTCTGGCTTCTGATGAGGGATCAGCTGTTATTCATATTATTTTGCCACAATAGGTAAAGCATTGCTTTTCTCTGGCTGCTTTCAATAATTTTTCTGCCTTGAGCTTTCAAAAGTTTCGCCACAATATATCTTCACATGGATTTCTTTGGGTTTATACTGTTTATAATTCACTCAGCTTCCTGAATCTGTAGGCTTGTTTTTTCCCAAATTTGGTAATATTCGAGCCATTATTTATTTGAATACATCTGCTGTCCCACCCTCTTCCTCCTCTCCTTCTGGAACTGTGATGACACAAATATTAGATCTTTTGTTCTGGTTTCACTGATCCCTGTCCATTTTTTCAGCCTATTTTCTATTATTCAGATTGGGTAATTTCTATTGTCCTGTCTCCACATTCACTGATTATTTCTTCTGTTGTCTCCAATTTGCTGTTTAACCCACCTATTGAGTATTTTATTTGTTTTTGAATTTTTTAGTTCTTAATTTCCATTTCTTCTATCTTCTGTTTCTTTGCTAAGACTTTCTATTTTTAATTTGTATCATGCATGTTCAGAATTCTTTGTCAAAGCATTTTTATGATGGCTGCTTTGAAATCCTTGTCAGGTAATTCAAACATCTGTGTCATCTCAACGATGGCACCTATTGACTTTCTTCCTTGGTTTGAGAGCTCAGTTTGAAATCTTTTTGGTTCTTAGTATGATGAAGGATTTTCAGTTGAAACCTAGACATTTGGGATGTTATTTTAAAAGACTCTTCTTTCAATCTTTTAAAAGAATCTTTAATATTTTAAAAGGATCTTATTTTAATCTTGTGTTTTAGCAGGTATTTTCTGACACCACTCCGGTGAGTGAAGGGAGATGCTGTCTCATCACTGCCCAGTGGGACTGAAAGTCCTGGCTCCCCACTCAGCTCCTCTCTCTCCCTTGTTACAGTCTGGCAAGGATAGAAATCTAGGTTATTTATCTGGCCTTTGCTAGTAGGGGTGAGGGTGGGCCACAGTTTTTTTGTGGTATTTGGCTAGAGTAGAGTGGTTATTATCTAAAAATTTTCTGTGTTGCTAGGTTGTTTCTTTTGGGGCCTTTGACTAGCGTGAGAAGGCACTTCTTGGGGCTTTTACTGGTCTGTACCTGTTGGGTGTTTCTGGGCTGCTGGCTTGTCCCACACCTAGTTTAGGATATATGCAGCAATAAGAAAACCCAGGGAACTCACCACTGCATTATTCCTTGGATCCCAAAGTCCTTAGCCAGTCTGCCTTCTTCTCTTCACCTTTTAGAATGTCTTGTGCTTGTTATATATATAATGTCCTGGGCTTTTAGTTGTATTTAGCAGGAGGAATAAGGAAAAGTATATACTCCATCTTCCCAGAAGCAGAAATCTAGAGGGTTCTTTTGAACACACTAATTTGACCATGTCACTCTGCAGCTTAAAACATCTCAATGGCTCCAACTCTCTAAGGGATCAAATCCAAAACAAAACCTTACTGAGGAGGAAAAACTATGTCAGATATACCTCTACATTCTCAAAGTCCAGCATGGTTCTTACAAGTAGTAGTTACTCTGAATGCTTAATGATTAAAGAACTGAGGCTTAAGTTCATGCATTACCCATACCAATATGTGTTCTGGCAAATTATGTATTTTCTCAAAGACTGCTCCACAGCCAAAAGTATGAGGTGCTTGCACAGACATTTTTATTCCATACCAAGCTTTGAGAGCTGCTGAAGCTAGAACTAAACTCACCTTCCACAGGTAGCCGCCGCCGTATGGCCAGGCGTTCCATTTTCCGCTGTGTTTCTGCCAGACTGAAAAGGACCCCATAAACATACTGACGTGCTGACCGGAACAGGAGAGCAGCTGGAGGCAGCTCCATGTTACACTCATCCTCAATACATACGGGGATCTTAATCTCACCCTAACAAAAAAAAATGGTCCAGGACAAAGAACAAAATGAGTTACCTCAAGGTTTGGAATTGAGCTGAGAAGAATCAGTAATGAACTTTAGCCTCTGTAGCCAGAAAATACAAATTTTCTACTTGTATTTAACAGTTTCAGAATAAAAAGAAGCTGTAACAAGCCCAAATGACCATAGCCAGCTTAAAAGCTATGCTCCATCTATACAGTCTCTGCTATGACTGACTGTAGCTGACTAAATGGGGAAAGTCACATCTTAGACATTTTGCTGGGGGATAGATTTGTATGGTAAGACTGGAGGAAGGAAACAGCTCTGGAGAAGTACAGGAAGAGGTAAAGAACAAGGGCATAAAGCCTCTTCTTAGACTGTGTCCAGCCCTAGACCACAGTCTACCAACATGGTGCATGATCTTCTTTGAAATCTCACAATTAGGGGCGCCTGGGTGGCTCAGTCCTTAAGCGTCTGCCTTCGGCACAGGTTATAATACCAGGGTCCTGGGATCGAGCCCCACGTCAGGCTCCCCGCTCCGCGGGAAGCCTGCTTCTCCCTCCCCCACTCCCCCTGCTTGTGTTCCCTCTCTTGCTGTCTCTCTCTCTCTGTCAAATAAATAAATAAAATCTTAAAAAAAAAAAAAAGAAAGAAATCTCACAATTATAGTTCTCTTCTTGGCGACTCATTTTTTTTTTTTTAAAGATTTTATTTATTTGACAGAGAGAGACACAGCGAGAGAGGGAACACAAGCAGGGGGAGTGGGAGAGGGAGAAGCAGGCTTCCTGCTGACCAGGGAGCCTGATGCGGGGCTCGATCCCAGGACTCTGGGATCATGACCTGAGCCGAAGGCAGACGCTTAACGACTGAGCCACCCAGGTGCCCCTTGGGGCCTCATTTATTATAAAGTTCTATCTCCTGCTGGTCTCACTTCACCTGAGGCCCTTAATGCAATGAGGGGCCCCAGTATACTTGGTTTCCTTTTATCTCCCTTCAGATAACAATTAGAATTTTCTCTGATAACTTATGGTTCTAGGAAGTGTGAAGTACAATGTTAAAAGCAGGGAGGCAGGTGCTGATGTGCTCTCTTACCTTAGTGAGGACATGATAGATATATGGGTACATAAGACCCCTTCGGTGTCTGTGCTCAGCAACCCGCAAGACCTCGGGAGCTACTGGAGGTAAGGGCGGAATGGTGATGTCCATGTGGTTCCTTGTAGACATAGACAGCAGGGATGGGATGTGGGGCTCTCCATCACCCAGGGTGGTATCTGCAACTCCAGCATCGATGGGCTGTACCCAGGACCCTCTGTCACCATTTGGATCCTCCCATCCAGGCTGCTGCTGAAGTGTTTCTGTGATGTGACTAAAAATTTCAAAAGACCATGTAGAAGGGATAAAGAAGGGCACGTGTTGTAATGAGCACTGGGTGTTATATGCAAATAACGAATCATTGAACACTACATCAAAAACTAATGATGTACTGTATGGTGACTAACATAATAAAATAATTCAGTTGGAAAAAACCCCAAAGATATAAACATATGAGTATACTCAAAGAAAAAAAAAAAAGAAATTCCAACTGAAGATTTCTGTTCTGATCCTAAGGATTCTTACAAACCCTCTGGAAGTCAAGACACTAAGTACTGGACCTGATATATTTCCTCTACACCTTATAAGAGGCCATGTCTAGAGTCAGCTTACATTCTAAGAAACTAATTATAACTGAAACCTCAAAGTAGCTCTGTTTCCCAGGACGAATCTGCTTGGAGAAATAATCTAAGAACAAATAAGCTAGTATAAAATACCACTGTTTTAATCCTCAGAACCCTGTCTTAAGCAATATAACTGCCTACTCAACTGTTCTAATATTTCAACTCTATAAATTCTTTTCATTTTTTTCTACATTCAATCCATCCCTCTCAAAAATTGAGAAATGACAGCCATGAAATGTAGCACACCCATACCTAGGGCTTCCCTAACCAGCTGCTATGCATCCTTTTACTTCAGGGGTCTGGGTATCTGAAAATTATCACCTGTACAGAGTCCATATGAGTATGAAATAGTTAAGCATAGAGTTTTCCTACTTCATTTAAGAGTAAAGAGCTACAGAGAAAAGCCAGAAACATATACTTCCCCACACCCAACCAAGGTTACCAGCAAAAAAAATACAGATGCACCAGAAGTCTGTTCCCTTGAGTGCCTATTCAGATACTTACTCAGAGCTGGTTCCATTTGGTTCCTCACCATCAGAGGAAGAGGAGTGAGAAGAGTCTGGTCCCAAAGGAGGTGAGGCTTTGGAAGTCAGGTAATTGGGAAACTGGGATGCAGAGGAGTCGTAAGAGACAGCCCAATTGGCAAAGGGGCTGTCCTGCAGCATGGGATCCTCAGAAAAAGCATGAGGTTCCCCCAAAGCATGGGGAGAGAAGAGAAGAGAGGCGTTGGGTCCCATTGGGAATGGTGGTGGATATTTCATTTTCGGTGGCACATGGTTAGAAAACTAAAGGATAAAACAGACAGAAAAGCTATTTAACATTTGAATAGGCTCCAAAATGGTTCCCTCAGAAGTTGTGACACAGTGGGTAATGCCAGTAGCAGGGATTATTGGGATATAAAGAACCTACTGAGAATAATAAGAAATTATTCTAACAGTGATATATGGACAGAATCCTCCAGAGGCAGGACAATGAACCAATCCATGTCTCCTAGAACCACTCTCCAACATTAGCTAATCTACCTTCACAATGCCCTAGTGGTTACTAATGTGGATGTTTTCTTTACATAGTCTGCCAGCCTCGAGTTGAGAATGTGACATAGGTATATACAGCCTTGATATTCTGATAACATTGAATTACCTTAACTTCTTAACTCAGAGTATAAAAATCAGGAAGCAACCTGAGTCTAATGCTAACACATGGTCTTGAGACTCTTGAAAGATATTACCATTGGCTTTCCAGCAGAAATAGTGCCCATCTGATTTCGTGGAAGGGGAGGATTTCCAAGCCGATTATTCCGAAAACCTGAAGCCAAGAGAAAGGGCTATACTTTAGTCAATCCAAATAATTCTACCATATTACATTCTGCTAACCCCACATTGCTTGAAAAATTATTAATAGATAAGTTATAATTTATTGAACACCAGCTATGTGCCATGCCAAGAACCTTACAGAAATTATTTTTTAAAAAATCCTATAAAATAGGTATCATAAGCCACATAACATACATGCATATGTGACTAGTTAAGATCACACAGCTATTAAGCAGCAGAGGTGGAATTCAAACTCAGGCCTGAACCCAGAGACAGGGCTATTTTACATACACCAGGCTGTAATGGAGGTTAGTGCCAGAAGAAGCCCAAGCTAAGGAAATGGCATTGGACCCCACCTACAAGTTTGAAACCACTCTTCTGACATGAAAATCAAAAAGAGAGTATCCACCAAACAGGAATGACTTCTACAAGAGTGCAATACAACAAGTCATTTCACTCTGGCCCAGGAGTTCCCATGAGGGACTGGGTTTCCCGTTTGGATAGAGGAGCTCTGCATCAGATGGAATCCTTACCTAGAAAGGAGGAGGGACCCACTGGCAGCGAAGAGAGTTTGGTTGTGACTGAATAGTATTCAACTGCTTTCTTGAATCGCTCTATTTTATCTTCTGTCCTGGACTGGACATTGGAACATCAGATGTTCAGGAGAAGAAACAACATGAGAGTGTATTTTGCATGCAATTTATAATTGAAGAGTCAAAACAGTAGCAGAAATAACATATTTTAAGAAACCCAAGAGAGCAATTTTTCATGTCGCAGAAAAGATTAGAGAGAAAGCATTATAAAATGTAAAAAAAAAAACAAACTTAAAAATAATAAATAAATAAAGTTTATTTAATTTTGTGCTATTCTAAAATGGTCATATGATCATTAGAAAGAATAGATAAGGATGGGGAAAAATTACATATTACCATCACCCGAAGATATTTTGGTCTGTTTTCTTCCAGTATTTTATTTTATTTTTTAAATTTTTAAAAAAGATTTATTTATTTATTTATTTATTTATTTATTTATTTATTTGAGAGAGAGAGCGGGGGAAAGAGAGAGAGAGAGCGCAAGCATGTGAGTAGGGTGAGGGGCAGAAGGAGAGAGAGAATCCTCAAGCAGATTCCATACTGAGCAGGGAGCCTGACATGGAGCTCAAGCCCAGGACCCTGAGATCATGACCTGAGCTGAAATCAAGAGTCAGACACTTAACCGACTAAGCCACTCAGAAGCCCCTTCTTCCAGTATTTTAAAATAAACTTTTGTTGACATATGGTCTATTTTAATATACATATTTTCTATAGTTGATACTATATAATTTCATATCCTTCTTGTATTATAATTTTGAATGACCATATTTCTTAAGCATAAATGTAACTACTTCCCTAATATTTGATACTTAGGATATTTCTCACATTCGGCTATTATAAGTTATGCAGCAAAGAACATGTATGTACATATAAATTTTTTCTGGATTGCAGATTATGTTCCTAGGAAAATGTCCCCAAAGTGGAATCATTGGTTCAAACGGTATGAACACTAAAATAAAAAGCACTTAAACATATACAAAAACCACAATGTGTCATCGCTATATATCCACCAGAATGGTTAAAATGAAAGATTATAAGCATCAGGCACTGGTAAGGATATGGAATAACTGGAACTGCAGTGCATTGCTGGTGGGAGTGTATATTGGTATAATTTGGGAAACAGATCGGCAGTTTCCTATAAAGTTAAACATATATTTACCGTAAGGCACAGCAATCCTACTTCCAAGTATTTACCCAGGAGAAATGAGTACATATGTCCACAAAAAGATAGGAATGAGAATGCTAACAACAACTTTATTCATAATAGCCCCAAACTCAAATAACTCCAATGTATACCAAGAGAAGAACGGGTAAATTGTGGTCGATTCCTACAATGGAATACTATACAGTTATAAAAAGAACAAAGCGCAACATAGATAAACCTCAAACACCTTATACTGAGTGAAAGAAGAGAGACACAAAAGAGTACATATAAAGTTCAAGTAGAAGCAAAACTAATCTATGGCAAAAGAAGTAAAAATACTGGTCATCTCTGAGGGGTTAGGGCTGACTGAAAAGGAGCTTTTCCTTATCAAACCTTTTCCAATGTAATTTTAAAGTCCTATTAAATATAATTTTATGAACTTCCTAATATTTCATCAAATGGAATATAAACTATTAAAGTCATTTCTACTTTATCATTATAAAAATGCTTTGATAAGCATAATTTTACATAACTTTCTTGGATTATTTCATAGGGAATATTCTTAGAAGTGGAAATATTAGGTCAAAGGATATGGTCATTTTCATAGACACATTTTTTAAATTTAAATTTTAGTTAACATACGATGCAACATTGGTTTCTAGAGAATTCAGTGATTTGTCACTTACATACAACACCCAGTGCTCATCAAAAGTGCCCTCTTTATTTTTTTAAAAAGCCTTTATTTATTTATTTGACAGAGAGCGACACAGAGAGAGAGGGAACACAAGCAGGGGGAGTGGGAGAGGGAGAAGCAGGTTTCCCACGGAGCAGGGAGCCCGATGCAGGGCTCGATCCCAGGACCCTGGTATCATGACCTGAGCCAAAGGCAGACGCTTAACGATGGAGCCACCCAGGTGCCCCAAAAGTGCCCTCTTTAATACCCATACCCATCTAGCCCATCCCCCACATGCCTCACTCCATCAACCCCCAGTTTGTTCTCTACAGTTAAGAGTCCCTTATGGTTTAGGAGCACCTGGGTGGCTCAGTCAGTTGAGCATCTGACTCTTGGCTTTGGCTAAGGTCATAATCTCGGGGTCATGAGATCAAGCCCCACACTGGGCTCCACACTCAATGGAGAGTCTGTTTGTCCCTCTCCTTCCCCATCTGCCCTCCCCCCACTCACTCACTCTCTAAAATAAATAAATTATATCTTTTTTAAAAAGTCTCATGGCTTGTTTTCCTCTGTTTTCTTTTCCCCCTTCCCCAATGATCCTGTTTTTTTCTTAAATTCCACATGTGAGTGAGATCATATGGTAATTGTCTTTCTCTGACTGACATTTCACTTAGCATAATACAGTCTAGTTCTATCCACTTTGTCACAAATGGCAAGATTTCATTCCTTTTGATGGCTGAGTAATATTCTAGTGTGTGTGTGTGTGTATATATATACATACATACATACATACATACATCACGTCTTCTTTATCCATTCATCAGCCTAAAAACATTTGGGCTCTTTCTATAGTTTGGCTACTGTTGATAATGCTGCTATAAACAGCATGTACCCCTTTGAATCTGTACTTTTGTATTCTTTGGGTAAATACCTAGTAGTGCAATTGCTGGATGGCAGGGTAGTTCTATTTTTAAGTTTTTGAGGAACCTCCAAACTGTTCTCCAGAGTAGTAGCTGGACCAGTTTGCATTCCCACCAATAGTGCAAGAGGGTTCCCCCTTCTCCACATCCTCACCAACACCTGTTGTTTCTTGTGTTGTTAATCTTAGCCATTTTGACAGGTGTCAGGTGGTATCTCACTGTGGTTTTGATTTGTATTTCCCTGATGATGAGTGATGTTGAGCATCTTTTCTTGTGTCTGTTGGCCATCTGGATGCCATCTTTGGAAAAGTGTCTATACATGTCTTCTTCCCATTTCTTAACTGGATTATTTTCTTTGGGGGGTGTTGAGTTTAATAAGTTCTCATTAGTATCTCATTGGATACTAACCCTTTATCAGATATGTCGTTGGCAAATATCTTCTCCTATTCCATAGGTTGCCTTTTAGTTTTGTTGGTTGTTTCCTTCACTGTGCAGAAGTTTTTATCTTGAATAAGTCCCAATAGTTCATTTTTGGTTTTGTTTCCCTTGCTCTGAAGATGTGTCTAGGAAGAAGTTGCCTCTGCTGAGGTCAAAGAGGTTTCTGCCTGTGTTCTCTAGGATTTTGATGGATTCCTGTCTCACACTGAGGTCTTTCATCCATTTTGAATTTATTTTTGTGTATGGTGTAAGAAAGTGATCCAGTTTCATACTTGTGTATGTTGCTATCCAGTTTTCCCAACACCATTTGTTGAAGAGACTGTCTTTTTTCCACTCGATATTCTTTTCTGCTTTGTCAAAGATTAGCTGACCATAGAGTTGAGGGTCCATTTCTGGGTTTTCTATTCTGTTCCACTGATCTATGTGTCTGTTTTATATCTGTGTTTCTGTGGTGTTGGTTGTGATCTCTCCTCTTTCAATCATTATTTTATTTACTTGTGTCCTTTCTCTTTTCTTTTTGATAAGTCTGGTTAGGGGTTTATCAATTTTGTTAATTCTTCCAGAGAACTAGCTCTTAGTTTTGTTAATCCGTTCTATGGGGTTTTTGTTTTGGTTTGGTTTGGTTTCTATATAGTTATTTCTGCTCTAGTCTTTACTATTTCCCTTTTTCTCCTGAATTCAGGCTTTATTTGCTGTTCTTTCTCCAGTTCCTTTAGGTGTAAGGTTAGGTTGTGTATTTGAGACTTTTCTTGCTTCTTGAGGTAGGACTGTATAGCAATGTACTTCCCTCTTAATACTGCCTCTGCTGCATCCCAAAGGTTTTGGACTGTCCTGTTTCCGTTTTAATTTGCTTCCATGTATTTTTAAATTTCTTCTTTAATTCCTGGTTAACCCATTCATTCTTCAGTAGGATGTTCTTTAACCTCCTTGTATTTGCGGTCTTTCCAAATTTTTTCTTGTGGTTGACTTCAAGTTTCATAATGTTGTGGTCTAAAAACATGCATGTTATGATCTCAGTCTTTTTGTACTTGTTGAGGGCTGATTTTTGACCCAGTATGTGAATCCTTCTGGAGAATGTTCCATGTGCACTTGAAAGGAATGTGTATTCTGCTGCTTTAGGATGAAATGTTCTGAATGTATCTGTTAAGTCCATCTGGTCCAGGGTGTCATTCAAAGCCATCGTTTCCTTGTTGATTTTTCTGCTTAGATAATCTGTCCATTGCTGTAAGTGGGGTGTTAAAGTCTCCTGCTATTACTGTATTATTGTCAATGGGTTTATGTTTATTATTAATTGATTTGTATATTTGGTGCTCCCATGTTGGGGGCATAAATATTTATAATTGGTAGATCTTCTTGATGAATAGACCCCTTAATTATGATACAATGCCCTTCTTCATCTCTTGTTAGTCTTTGTTTTAAAACCTAGTTTGTCTGATAGAATATAGCTACTCCGGCTTTCTTTTGATGTCCATTAGCGTGATAGATGGTTCTCCATCCCCTTGCTTTCAATCTGCAGGTGTCTTTAAGTCTAAAATTCATAGACTTCTGACACATGACAGTAAATCTCTTTCCAAAACCCGTATCTCAAGTTATATTCTCATCATCAATGCATGAGAGTGCCCAATTCACCATACAGCTCCAATGATGAGTACTTTATACAAAAAAATCATCTAACTGCAAGAAACATTTCTTATAGAAATATATAAAAAATTATTAAAATATGTAATCCAAAAAAGTAAAATTTTAAACATTTATAATCTTTTCTCTCACAACCTGTAATTGTTAACTGTCTGGGATCTATATAGCATTCCAGATGTCTTTATTTGTATACATTCAGGCACACAAACAGAGAAATCAAGATCACAAGG